ACGGGAATGATGCGCCCGGCGCATAATAAACCGAGGGCATGCGGAATTTATTCGCCGGCATATCGGCGATCGCAATTCGCGTATCGATGCGAAAAGTTCGGCAGAGACATCGCGACAGTTTCGCAAACTCCCGGCGGGAACAATATAACGTCATTATCTCTCGGCGGACATTAAAGAACCGGTGCATCGTGAAATTTATAGTGGCAATGTGCAACACCTATGCGAGGCTTTATCAACGAAAATGGGACGGTCTCCTCGACTGACGACAAAAAGCCGATAGGACACACGTAAACAAATCCACGGGGAATTCGAGTTCGCCGGTCCTCGACGTGCCATTCATTAATTAAATCCCGTTTAAGTAGGCGAAGTATCCGAACGGCGGTAAATAATGGGACAGTCGGCGACGTGTCGCGATGAACTGGGACATCTGGGTCGTCCTAACTCGAACGTATATGCCGCCGTTCGTTTCTCCGTTGAAATTAATTCAAGCCCGCGGGAGCTCGCCAGAAGGGCCGGATGGCCCATCAGCATGCCAGTAATATTTCAAAGCGGTGAAAACCTGCCGATACAATGGCGACGTCGAAACTTGTCTTTTAGACTACTAAATAAATTAGCCAGTAGAGAGGTAACGCCCAATCGTGATCGAGCGGTTTTTCACATCTCACGTTTTTCGCGAAGAAGCATGTATTGTACGTTTGTTGTATAATTTTGAGGTGCTAACGTCTGACAATTACCATTTTTTTACTATTTGGTACATCGATATCGTCGAGAAAGTTGTTGAATTATTGTACGTATAAATATGAAACATTATTTTATGTTCCTTGGTAATAAATCTGTCCGTAAATAAAAAACAAATTGTAGAAAAAAAAAACAATCAGAGATTATTTTGAATATTTTGAATATAAAGGAAGAAAGAGATCACATATACACACATACACCATACAATGAGGCCATAACGGATCGCGGATATGAAAAAACAATCGCGGGAAAAAAGGACAATCAGACTATTTTGGATTTACAATAAAAGCCAGAAAGGGATTACAACGAGGCTATAACGGATCGCGGGATCACGGATGTTTAGCGAAAAGTACGATATTTCCTACGTGATTATGATAGTTTAATCGTTGGCGTACTAATCGCAACTCGTGATCTCGAGAATGTCCCTACTGCGGCAAGCGGTGATGATACCACGTCGTTCGAGTGTACGGCGCCTGAATACGAAGTGCGGATCCCGCAGTGACTGAATCCGCCTCGGGGGTGGTTTACAGGACAAGGGGGCAATAATCCCGGGGATGGCGGCGGTTCGACCAATATTGCGAAAGTTTCCGCGCTTGCTCTTGGAGCCGACTGTTAAAGTTCAGTCGGTCGTTCCTTCCGGAGGCGGCTGACACACGGCCGCAAGACAATAAGGAATGCGACTCGATGTTCTGCAAAAGTCGCTAGACATTGACGGATACCCGTCATTTTTTCCTTGGAATATATTACATTATATTATTTTAAGAGCCAAGTGCATTTCCCGCGCCCGTTTGTCCGTCGCCAGACAACAATCATGTATATATTATTAAATGTTCCGTGTTCAAGTCGTATTTATCATCGGATAAAACAAAGAAGTAAATAATTCTGCAAACTGTACGAATTTTTTATGTTACTATACAGTATTATAAAACTTGAACTTTTTTTTAAATTATGCATAAATATCGAAACGATGAGAATTAATAAATCGAAAATTAAAAGGAGAGAGAGAAAGATTCATTGTACTTTAAAACTAATAATTGTTACCTTTTGTAATGTTTAAAGTACTAATAATTATTACCTTTTGTAATGTTTAAAGTGTAATTAAATGGAATTACGGAATTATCGCTCACAGATATTATTTAAATTGTAAAAAGTAATTCGTAGGGATGTAAGTAATCTGACGTGAGAAGTTCAGAACTAAAGTTGATTCATAAATTATGTTGATTCATAAATTATCTGCTTTAAATATTTCATCTTTAAAGCGGATTCTATTAATAATGGATTTACTTCCTTTGTGTTCTCTCTCTCTCTCTCTCTCTCTCTCTCTCTCTCTCTCTTTCTAACATTCGAAAGCGGATAAAGCCACCACCGGAAGAGCTTCGTCGCCGGATGATAAAACTTCTGACAGTTTTGTGCAATACGTAAAGCAGCACGCAGTGAAATGAACTTACGGTACTCGAAAATTTTGCCACGAATGATGAGTTCCGATGGGACCTCGGATATCAACGCCAGCGGAACATCACGTTCTAAAACATCTGTTAAAAGGGCGTGCGGAGCGGTAAGTGAGAAAGATAGAGCGATGCTCCCAAATCCTGCTAAAACTTCCGGCGTTGGGTCGACAGACGTCTACAAAGCGACACGTAACTGCGTATGCAGCATAACGTGTGCTCGCCATAGGATTAGGTAATACCTGTGGTTGGCCGTAAAGGGAGTTCACAAACGACCTCCACGCTTTTCCTCCCATCGCATTTTCCCTACCGCGATTCCAACGACCGCGCGCGCGCGCGCGCGCGCGGAATGCGCGAGTTCGCTCTAGGATGTGCAACATTGCTACGTGCCCGCTTCCGGTTTCTCAGGACAAGAGCGTAAGACTGTTTGTGAAATTTCTACGAAATGCGTCGCTAAACACACGTTGTCCAATTTCGCGAGATTTAATTCGTGAAGCTATATTACTAGCGAAAGGATTAGCGTGCTTATATCTGGATAAACAACGCGAATTTATACTACAGTCGACGGAAATATTTAAATCTGCTGTTGTAAAGGACGATGCAATTTATTTATTGTTATTCCACGTTGCATATCTTTATTGATCTTTTATTCGACAATCAAAATTCGTTGGTATTCTACAGTCTAAAATTTAACTTATACTTATTTGTAATGAAAAGAGATTAAATATTGCGATAAAAGTACGAGTAAAATTCAGATATTTCAATTAAATTGAATAAATACGCGCTTTATCTTTATCAGGCCGTAATAACAAAGCGATAATAGAAACAATACCGATAATAAAGGGTGAAATTTAGTCAACTTGTAATGGAAACGGTCTTTTGGATACGGCGAACGTTTGCGAAAAGGAAAATGACTCTCGCATTTACAATAGTTTAGATTTTACAATAATCTTGAACTTTGATGACCGCTTATGACCGTACGAAATGGAAAGCTAGATTGTACTGCCGGTACGTGCCAATCCGCTCTCTCGAGGTTTTATACAAATGCGATTTTCAACTGTGAGTCAGTGAGTAAATTTGCCAAAGGTGTACGGATAAATATGCGACTATTCTGTTTTTCCGTGACTACATGAGAATTACTTCAAGTAGTTTACCATCGGGCAATGTTTGCTTGTTAGCCCGCGGTCGATGGAATACTAAAGTTCTCTGCAAGATTAGTATTTGTTTCTGCAACTCTCTAGATTGGAACTAACAAACCAGAAAATACGAAAATATAAAGTCAATTGAAATTGAACGTACACAAGATAAACTGAATTAAATACATTGATCAATTTGTAGAACGAAACTTTGTATATTACATAATAGATTGAAAACTTTATATATTACATAATAGATTGAAAAATCTCTTGGGGTAATAAAATTTCTTTAAAATTTTGTTAATACTGTTAATATATACATTCTATTGTTCTCTTTAATTATTACTCATTGCACAGGCTTGTGATGGTAAGGTTAATAAATGATAAAATTTTGCACCAAAGTCGTTGAAACCCAACGAACAGGTAAGAATTAATTCAGCCCATGTGTACGCATCCATGAAGGACGAAGGATTTCGATTTGCTTCGGGAGGAAATCGGCCTAAACAGTTCGCAGCACATCACGTCCCCATATAATAACGGATTGTGGAAACTCATACGCGTCACCGCTTCATAAGCCCGCAATCTACGAGGGTAGATCCCTCATACATTTTCCAAGGATCTTTACGGCTCTCAGCGCCCTGCGCCATGTGTACTTTAATTAGCTCGAGGTACCTCGTCTCGTTTGGCTTGACGGTACCCTTCAACCTTCCTTCGGCGACCGATTCTAGCGAATATTTGCGAAATTGTCTCACGCGCCCAGGCTCGAGCTTTATTTGCCGCGAACTTTGGTAGATCCCGAGCTAGAAGTTAGTTGAAATCGAAGTTTCACGGCGAAGTGACGGCACTACGCTATCTGAAATCTTAATGGAAGTGACGACACGGTGATTACCTCGTCGTCGTTGGGACCTTATCACGTGGGATGTGTCACTATCAAATGTTTGATTTAGGAATGACCGACGATCCGCCACCTACTTTCGTCGTAATTGGATCGTAATATGAAACCGGCGTCGAGAGAGAGAGAGAGAGAGAGAGAGAGAGAGAGAGAGAGAGAGAGAGAG